ATCCATCTACGTCCTGAGGACCTCGCTGCCACCGTCCAAGCGTGCTTGGCCCCGGCAGATGAACCTCAGGATTAAAGGGTGGGCTCAGTTCCGCGCACACTGTGTCTCACCTAAAAAATCCAATGCGCAGGCTGGAAGGTGGAAAGACCTTCCCCGGTTCTTCGTTCGCGAAGAGACTGGCCATTATGTCAATAAACTGTACTGAATATTTTGAGATTATTACAAACCATACATTAGACATCATATTTTATCCATCCATCTATAGAACAGGAATTTACCTTGCTACATTAACAACACCCACCTGAAGAATATGGTTCGCCTCTCTGCTTAAGGATATGCAGCTGCACCAGGGTTAACTGAGTATCTTTAAATTGAAATGAGGTATTCCCTTTCCACTGTATCCTTTCTTACTGTCCTCATGTATCAGGCATTTACACACCTGAGCACATACTAATAGCTCTCCTGTTTGCACTATTCTACTCCATGGTCACCTAAGTTAGTAACACACAACTTTCAGTAGTTCTATCCCTAAGTGCAAGGTGCCCCATGAGATATTTAACTCTTCATGATTAAACTTCACTACGAAAAAGATAAGAGAAAGTTCACCCAGAAAAAGCTTGTGGAATCCAGTATTTAGACAACACAGAACAAGTATGAGGTGACAAGGTCATGTTTACCTATAAAATTAGAAGGAATAATAAAGGTAGGTTAAGAGGTTTCAGCTTTTCGTTTTTCAAAGTCGTAAGCTAGTCTTCTTTCACTTGGGAAAAAAAAATCTTGAAAACCTGGTGCCACTGCTAAGATTTATTATACCAGTAAATATTTTATTGGGTGAACTCTACTGAAGAGCACAGAAAGGTCCTTTCCTATGATGCTCTTGGTAGCTCCGCACTGTCATCCCCATGAAATATTATTTCCCTTAACATGCGACTGCAGGCAGTCACACAATGAGGTTTGAGTTACTGCTGCCAACCCCTTACTGTGATCTTGTACGGGGCCAAGTAGCACAAGCAGTTTTCTGAGGAACTGTTGTGGCTCCAGACACGTCTGTGCTCTACAGGGCTTTTCATAGAAAAGTCCATTTCTCCTCAGTCAGTCAGAACAGCCCAAACACAGAGTTCAGTATCTGATAAACTAAATGATAATTGCCTGGGAGAGCAGTCCATGCATAAAAGCAGTGGGCTCCATTTCTATCCTTTCTCCTTATACCTCTTTAATCAGCTTACACACTAAGAAAAATTATTAACTAACTGCCTCCACTTCCCTCAAAAGCAGTTTCCAAATAATCCAAAACAGTATTTGAATGCTCAGATCAACAGGAAAAATACTATCTTACAACACCTTTAATAGCACTAAAAATATCTCAATTCAAGAAAAATTGCATTAATGCCCTTCTTAGGTTTATGCACAGCCAATAACTTATCATTTGCAAAACATACTTCAGAAGGGGACATATGCTGGCATCCAGCTAGTGTCATTTCTGTAGTTTTTTATTCCTATAAGCCTGCACAAGGGATCACAAACACAATTTTACACAGTAAGTTTCTCACACTGCTAGCAAAGACATGGCCTTTGAGATTATAGCAATTCTCAGACACAAAAAGGTCACAGGTTTATCAGTATCTTAACAGTAGCATTATTTTTACAAGGTTTGAAATAGAAACCTAGAGAATGGTTATATTCACAATAGTTAATACCTTCACATCTAGCCAGCTGGGCTATCTCCCTTGTTTACACAAAACAGTCATCTCTTTCTAAATAATTATAAATTAAAGAAATAGCCAGACTTAAGGAATGACCCTTCTGGCTCAATACCCATAGAATAATTTTTGTCAGGTAGAGGCAACTAACAAGAAGAACCTCCAGAAAATCTGCTCCCAGACTTTTAATTAGTAAAAACATGCTCCTGCCAAACTGGTGTGCTGGGATGCTCTCAGTGCTCCTCCCCTGCACCAGATGCTGTTTGTTCCGATCAGAATTTCTCACGTGAACCCCACTCTGTGCAGGAGCTCAATGGGCCACCACAAAGTGCACCACCAAGGGCTTTCAAAAGGAGAAGCAGATGTGAATTTAGTGTATAATTATTTGCAATAACGGTATCCAAGTCAGCATGAACAGATGCTTGCACCATGCAATTTAACCAACACAGGGATAAGCAAAGAAAATGCAAAACTTGGCTGTTGGCTTCACAGCTCCATTCCCTGATAAATTAAGATTAACAAGTACAACCAGAAGGGAACTGCACAGTGCTGTGCTGTGTATAACCAGGACTCCCTCACATTGAGCAGGTCTTACAAAATAATTAAGAGGAAAGCCCTTTACAACAACACTGCTACAAGAACTCACGCACAGAGAGAAAACAAAAGCACACACGTGCATTAAGGATATCTACCATGACAAGTTCCAAATGTGAATTCAATGTGGTCCATGCTGAGCTGCTCTTGATGCTATCAGCAAAAAGAATGCACAATACAGCCCCCACTGCCATCTCCTCACAGCCCTCTGGTTGGTGGGAATGGTGGCTTTTGGGCCCCAACAGCTTTACCTCCCCAAGCTGAGCAAGCCCTCCTCCTGTAGTCTTTCCCTGAAAAACAGCTCCAGCTCCCAACCATTGTGGGGACCCCACTGGACTATTTGTGAGCCCCCACTCCATGGTAACCCAGAGCTGACCCCACTGTTGCAGGTGGGGCGTGGAGAGAGCCAGCCAGTAAATCCCTTGCTGTCACCCATTCCTTGTCATGCTCCTGCTGGTGCAGCCCTGGGGCTGCCAGCCTTCCCTGCTGCCAGGGCATCCTGCTGCTCATAGCTAGCCTGCTTCCCACCAGGACCTTCAAGTACTTTTCACAAGAGCAGCCTCTCAGCCAGTTAGTTCCCAGCTTGCACTCTTGCAGGTGGTCAGTCCATCCCAACTGCCAACTTGGCATTTGTTGTTGCAGAATTTCATGAGATGCCTGTCATTCCATACCTCCCACCTGTCTAGGCTCCTGTGAATGGCAATCCTTCCTCAAGTGGTCCACCAGTTTCTCATATACACATACTTGATGAGGATGCACTTCATCTCCTCCTTCAGATCCTCGTCAAGAACATCAGGCAGCATGAATATGTATGGTTCCCTGAGGAACTCTGTCTCCAGATAAAACATGACCATTAACCATCTCTCTTTGAGCTGAGTGATCTTTCTTATCACACCTGGCAGCCCATCTGCCAAAATGCAGTAACTCAAAGTGGACAGAAGGGTGAGGGGGGAGACTAAGTTGAAAGCCTAGCTTAAGGAGAGGCACCAGACATGCACAGCTTCACCTCAATGATGCATCCAGCAACTTCATCACAGAAACAGGCTGGTCAAGAACAATCACTGCTGTTTAATTCATGCTGGCTACTCCCCATAACCTTCTTCTTTTATGTGCCCAAAAGTGTGTTTTAAGAGGACTCACTCCATAATTTTCTCACAGATCAAAGTGAGGTTGACCAGCCTATAGCGCTGTGGATCATTATTCTTGCCCTTCCTGAACATGAATGCAATATTTACCTTTCTTTAGTCATGATGGTTTCTGTCTTATCTCAAAAACCTTTCAAAGATGACAGAGAGCAGCATTGCTATGACAGTGGTCAGCCTCCTCACCTCTCTCAATGTAAGTCATCCCAAAGACTAGATTTGGGTCAAGATTTCTCAAGAGATCCTTGATTTGATCCTCACTCATTTCTTGTCATTCTTCTCCTTGAACCCTCACTCTGAGCACATAGGTTGGGGTGACACTGTCAGAGAATACTGAAGTGAAGAATTCAAGTGTCTCAGCCTCCTCTGTGTTGGATGCTACTAATTTACCCAGTCCATTCAGCACAGATTCACATTTTCCTTGCTTATTCCTGTACTGCTAAAGCAACAGAAGTTTTTTTGGGTGGTCCTCGATGTCCCCTTTTTCTTGTCCCTCAGCTCCAGGTGTGCTTTGACTTTTCTGACACCATCCCTACATGTTTGGACAATGTATTTATATTCCTCCCTTGTAGCCTGTCCCTGCTTTCACCTCCTGTATGATGCCTTTGTACTGCAGCTCAGTCACAAGTTCACTTTCGGACAGCCGGTCAGTCTCCTGTTACGTCTATTCATATTCCAGGACATACCATTCTTGTGCTTGGAGAATTCTGTCCTTCAAAACTTGGCAGCATTCCTCAGCAGATTATCTCTGCAGAGCTGCCTTCCATTGTATCCCACCTATCAGTTCCCCGAATAAGCCCAAAATCTATTCTCTTGAAGTCTATGGTCTGTACTTTGCTACTTGCCTTCCTCACCTCCATCAGGATTTTGAACCCATCATTTCACTCCCCAACCATCAACAAAAATCACAATGTTTATTGAGAAGCCCATTGATAACTACCATGCCCCCTAAGAAAGTCAGGATTAATCAGTGGGCCTGCTTAGCACCCTCAGGAAAAGCTTTGGAAGTCTACAAAGACCTTACATTCAACTGAGCCACAGAAACAGCACAAGTGGCAAGGACAAACCTCTGTTTGTAACTGTGGAGTATTCCCTCACTGAGTAAAATCTTGAGTAGCATCCAGGAATTAGCACGTTCTGCCAAAATTATGTTTTCAATTTAAACACTGAATATTGTACTCCAAGATAGAGTGAAGACACAAGAGGACAACATTCATCACAGAACCTATATCCCTACATACCAGGAAGTAATCTTCTGATGAAATATGAATACCACTATATAAATAATCTAGCAACTACATTAGGCAGCTGATGTAGTTGTAGTAGTCATTAATCAACACTTACTGAACCTGCACCAGTAAGCTGTATTTTCTTTTTCTTTAATTAAATATCAAGCCTGACCTTTACACCATCATGTAAGGGACTGAATGCAAAAAGTTACTTAGCAGATAAAAGGTTATTTTCTTCTAGACAGGTGCTCACCTTGGAATGCTTGTCAGGTAGGTCAGGACATTCTGGAACTCTTTCTCGGGGATCTCACTGAAAGCTGGATAGTCTGGAAAGGTGATAACAGGGCAGCCATCTCCCCCTCTTCCACCTGCAAAAGAAACAAGCGGCACATTCCTTTACCTAGACTGCAATTTCCCACCAAAGAAACTACTGTATTTATTTTTTATGCTCTTTCTTTTTTTCTCCAGTCCTTTTGTGCAGAACTCATCACCGTGGACACTGTTTATTAGGAGCAGTGCATTCTTTTCTTCAGATCTTATGAAGTTTGAAAGGAACTTGTTATACCACATATTCACATCAGATTTTTTTTTCTGTACTAACGCCTTGGCTCCTGTGAACACAGTTTTGACACCAGATGGCAGTGCTTCTTTCCTCTGATAAAGTCAACTGCATGTAAATATAACCCATCTGGAGAAAGAAATGAACTATTTTAGGAAAAAAATGTTAATTCAGAATTAAGTAGGTGAATTTCCATCTTAAACTGAATTCAACCTTCTTACTACTTTGAACTCATTCATGCAACACCCCCTCTTACCCTGCCCAGTAGGCTGCTTTGCTTCCAGGATGGTCCAAAAGAAAGGAACAGAACATTACAAGAAATGGGTGTAGGTGTTTCAGATGAGATTTACCATTCTCAGATTATGTACAAAAGGTAAAGCAGAGCTTTTTTCACAGTACCTACATTACAGCAGGGCTGCTGATGAGCTACATATCGTTATCTGTATTGTTTCTGGCATTTGCAGCCCTGAGTAGCATTTGCAAACACAACGCTTCTTAATGTGCTTCACACACATTTTTACTGGCAAAATGTAATTATTTCTTTTTAAAAGCAATAATAAGGTTTCACGTCTTAAGTAAGTATATTTTCATAAACGCAGGCAGGACAAGGGGCTTACTGAGCCCTAGGAACTGCATGAAATTCACAGTTTGGGGGTGGTAAGAACACATTGCTGGGAAGTTATCTTTGCTTCACACTTCAAAAAGAGAAGAAAAACAATGAAAAACTACCGTTGTAAAATAATAAGGTTATTTTAGCTTTGAAATCCAATAATTTTGCAGAAATCAGCTGTAAACTGTATCAGCAACACCAATCACGAGAGCAACAGTGATTTGTGAAGATTACAGTGTGCTATTACCCACTCCCAGTGCCTTTGCATCTAACCTCACCAGGAAGAGAAATATTTGAGCTCAGATTTGCTTGATAAAAGAAACCACAACTTCCCTCCAAACCATATGTAATTAGAAGAGCTCAAATAGTATCCTTATGTTAATTTATGGTGAATCTGACTTCAATGTGGTAGTTTACAGGCAATATGGTGCTGCCACTGCGAAGCTCTTAAAATCAAAATAGATGAGTAAATGCATGCTGGATGTGTTTAAACAACAACAAAATGCAACTGTTATGCAAATATCACAAATTTGCAAACATGACCTTTACAACACATCCAAACATGGCAACATTAAGTCAATGGAGCTAATTTTAGCTATACAAATGTTGGCAACAAAAATATAAGTTAGGACCCATTTTGATTCTGTTATTTTTTGTTCTACCCAGGCTCTCAGGATCTAAGCATTTTCCTCTCTCATTAAAACATTTTTCAAGCATGATAATGATTACTTCTGTTGCTCATGAGTTGTTCTGCTCTCTCTAGAATATCTATTTTTAGGTGCAATTATACATTATTTGCTGTATCCCTATTGGTTACTTGCTCTGTTCTACATAATTTCTATAAATAGGATACATGAAACAAAAGAAGAACAACAATAGACTTGCAGGACATGTCCTAAAAGCAGAAACCCAGACCATGACCTCCAGGAAGTTCCCAGACCACTGACTGTCCAGGGCAAATAGAGGCATCCTGCCTTGACACTGCCTATTAATTTTCAGTTTCTAGTACAGTCATCTGTGGTTATCACGAGTGGAGACAACTCCGTCCTGCCTTGTGCTCTTCAGAAGATCGTTGTTCACTGATTATCTTTTTTTCCAGTGCTTTCCTGCTGGGACACTGGAGCACCCATAAACCTTCAAATGCTGCTCAACCGCTTTTCCTTTATCAGAACCTCACTCAAAAGAGTTCAGGGCAGAGTGACCTGAAGTGCTACACATAACAAATACTGTAAAATTTCAGCTTCAGTAATTCTGACCTATCGAAGTCACATTCCATCTTGCAACATTAAATACAGGGCCATCAGTGGAATACAGGTCACTCTAGCAAAGCAGTCCCTACTTACAAAAGAGCATTTGTCACAGCATCCCACAGAAAGGGCATGGGAAATAAAGTAAAAATCCTACATATTAAATAGTAGTAAAAGCAGTAGGCGGATTCACTTTTTAGTGTCCTTCATTTTTATAATGGACCTAACGCAACATGGAATTATTTTTTCCTTTATTTAGAATAATTTTTTTCTTGCTTCACCTCTGCAGAAGCAACATTACACAGTTTATTCCTAAATTAGCTGTGCAAAACGTGACTTTCTTGCCCTCTCCCAGAAGTATACCATGCCACAGAATTTGGAGGGAGGGAATAAAAGGGAAAATTTAGGAAGCTAAGCTGGCTTTAGGCTTTAGTGAGAGGAAAAGCATTCAAGTGACAAAAATGAACAATATCACTTCTCTCATCCTCCTTGAAACAGAGGTTTAAGACAAAAATTTCAATATAACCATCCAACATCTCAGAACTTTATACACCGAATTACAGAAAGGGACACCTTGAAATGAGATGAACTCTGTGAGAGCTAAAACTCATGAAAATAATTCAATTTGTATGGAGTAATTTTTAAAATGAGTGACTGGAATTTTAATCAACATCCAAAAAAGTAGTAATTTAACTGTAATATTTTAATAAATTCAGGTCAGTTGGTAGAGTGGCTATGTCTAATTACCTCATTAATAACTACTGAAAAAAATCACCTCTTTCTCATTCCCCTGTAGCTCACAGTCCTGAAATTCCAGCCACAGCTGTGGAACAGCCTAACCTTATTTGCTGGGCAAGTTCTGTCCACAACAGTACACTGAAGCCCATTCTCCTATTTCTAGGCTTAAACTGGGATGCACTGACTTATACAATTGGAATTTAATAGTTTTATTTGTTATTAAGGCAACCAAGTATCTGAGAGCATTGGGAGCATTTTCTTAGTCTAATTTTAGGGTTTTTCTTTTTTTTTTTTTTTTTTTTTTTTTTTTTTTTTTTTTTTTTTTTTTTTTTTTTTTTTTTTTTTTTTTTTTTTTTTTTTTTTTTTTTTTTTTTTTTTTTTTTTTTTTTTTTTTTTTTTTTTTTTTTTTTTTTTTTTTTTTTTTTTTTTTTTTTTTTTTTTTTTTTTTTTTTTTTTTTTTTTTTT